GTTTGATAGCTGGAGAGATTCAAAGATATTCTATTACTGAGTGCTTGACTAAGTATTGACGACATATTATTTCAAGCAACATGATTTCTCAATTTTGACCGATGCATTCGCATCGTTGGCATCGGTCTGGATCCGCCCCTGTGTGATTAGTCAGCGGCAAATTATGCTGCATTAGTTAATAATAGTTTAGCTGTAATAGGCGTATAGGAATGCAGTGTCGCTTTTTTGAATGTTTTGATACGAAAATGAGACATGTTTCTTCGGGCGAGAAGAAGCATCCGTGGTTCTGGTAAATGGTAATATGTTTTTAAATTGACCAAAATAGCATCATTTCCAAACGACCAATGCTGCTATATGCTTTGTCATATAATCTCGAACAGTCTGTGCCAGTGTAGGTTGTGCCAATGATAAGAAAGCTTCGGATCGATAGCGATACAATTACTGTACCTCAAAAATACAAAGAGAACTCCTCCTTGAAATTCTCCTTGTATTTTTCAGGTAGTTGTATCCCTATCAGTCCGAAGCTTTCTTATATGCTTTGTTGCCTATACAAGTGTTTCTGTCTTTAGTGTGACCCTCGTCTACCGCGTGGAATCGGAGAGAAAATTATTTTACGTCAAGTGGCCAAATCTCTAGGACTGACAGGTTCAAGTGAGTTACCCAAAAGAGCAATCCAATTTGGATCAAGAATTGCAAAACTGGAAAGTTCCAGCGAGAAAGGCAATGAAAAGTGCAGCAGATTTTGATATGAAATCAAGATATAACAACAGGAGATTTTGTTTTTACACTAGTAAGTACTAAGTTCTGTAGAAAAAAGGCTTATAGTTACTGCATGTCCACCTCGTACACTGATTACAGCTATTTTATTTATTTCATATTTTAGGAATTTTAATTATTTCTGTTTAATAGACTTTTTATGTTATTAACTACTAAGAATAAGGCTTAAGAGTTAAGTAAGCTCTGAAACGTCGTTTTTACTAAAAAAATGTTACAGTGTGTCTACTGTATACGTGGGGCCATTCACACAACACTAACCAATCACATTTCAGGACAAAAATTAAAAAATCAATAAGCAGCGCATTGGCTGAATCAGCATTCCATGCTTTATTTTGATTGGCGAGTCGTAGTTTGATTGGATTTCTTTGTTTTTGTTCTGCAATGAAGAGCAACGAAATACATCTTAAATCTTGGGTTTACCACCAATGTCTCGTACATAACTAGATTACATCAACTGGAGTTACTATACCAATAACTTATTGGCATGAATATTTGGACATGGTTTTACTCTATAAGTTAATTAACAACTATACCTATGTTGACGAGAGTGCTCTACCAATAATAGCGGAATCTGGAAAAACCAGACGTGAAACCAACGAAAACGTGATTAGATTTGTAATACCCTTTGCTAAAACTGTAACATACCAGTCTTCATATCTCATTAGAGCGTGCAAAACGTCGAACGTTTTAAATAGTGACCTCCGTTAATAGAGATATTGGGCTGGAAGCTTTCAAATCTGGACTAAAGACGTAGTACAAAAACGCGCTATCCAATATTTATAATTATGACGATCCGCGAACTTGGAAATCTGTGTGCGTTAAATATAAAAGGTCTAGGTCCCCTGATGGTGTTTTAAGTTGTTGTTAGTTGTCTCTTGCACCGATTGTACTTTGTCTTAAATTAGTTTGTTTCGACTGTTAAAAGTATTGTAAATGTAAAGTTAATTATGGGGTCGCCGTAATTGGGGAAACCTGTGGCGAACTCCCTGGCGCTATATTAGCCGAATCTCATTAAATCATTTAATCAATGTGATTGGTTAGAGTTGTCTGAGTGGCGCCGGCCCCACTTACAGTAGACGTACTGTAAGCCTTAATAAAGCTAAGAGAAAGTTTGATATTAAGTATTCCAATTTATTAACATAAAATTAATAATTATAACATGGACTAGACAGCATATATATTCCCTGAAATCTACACATGCAGGAAGTTTCATATTTAACTTACACAGGAAATTTTTATTTTTGCATTTGCTGGTACGAAGAAAAATATATTTATTTCTATTTATTTAAATCTCACGTAGATTGAAAGCATCTGATTGGTCACGGTAGCTAGCGGTGCACCTCTCTAATATAAGCGTCCCGGCCAGCTGACTGAAACCGCATGATACACTCCTACTTTTTAAGACATTACAAAATCTACGCGCAAAAATATTTTTATAGCAATTGTCAATAAATTATTTAAAATTCGTTGTCTTTATTTCTATTCCATATATTATTTAATCAGGTCTATATTGTAATTTAATAAAAATACTAGCGCTAAATACTAAAATAGATATTACAAATTTTCCTACCACATCATCGTTTTAAGTTTCCTATATTCCTTGATTTATCAAAAAATCCTTACAACTTCAACTTGCAATATCTTGTCTGATATAATTCATTTCTGCGCAATTTTGTTCACCCTTCCAGTAAACAGCGGGAAGTATTGCGTCGAAATTAAAGTTTCCCAAATCATCAACACATTTCGATTTCAGTTCAATCTCCTCCTTGCTCAACGAAATTGCGTTGTTTGTTTTCTTTGGTTTTTGCAAAGTTTCCAGAATCGTACGTGAACTGTTAAACTTTTGTGGTAAACAATAAATGCGTACTTTACTGCACTGTGCCTCGGGTGGCGAATGAAGACTTGATTCGCAGTTGATTCTAGAACATTTTGGTCGACGTCCTTTGTAACTTTGCGCAGGTTTTTCATCGCTCGGCGAGGTAAACTTGAACACCTTCAAGGCTGCGGAAGGATTTCTCGCTAAAAGTTGAAGTAATTGTGTACACTCATTGCCATCTGGTGAAGTATTTTTCAGTTGGCGAGGTGAGCTGGCCATCTTAATTCTTATTCGTTCTCGAACGCTGAAAACAACGTGAATTCTATACTGTGAAGTGCCACAAGTCGCGCAAGCACACAATTGCACGCCCGCGCTTGAAACGGTTGTCCGTTAATTTGTGTGGCGTCATCAAACAATACACTGTTATACGTCATAAGTACTTCAGCGCTTACTAAGCTTGCTTGCGCTTTCACAAGTATATGGCAAAATTACGCTAAATTAATGCTTTTATTTATTTAATATATTTATTTGTTAACTTTGCCCGCATTAAATATTTAAATTACAATAACAACAACAACAACAGCGTATTGCCAATTACAGCGGGCCCAAGAAGATTTGCTCTAGAAGATAATATCGTAAAGCCAGGATTAGCTTTACCAGGACCAGCGTGAGGTAACGAGATTTAACAAGTTTTTCCAACACCATGCATGACTCGTAGTCTCAAGTACAGTTTTTAGATAGTAAGCTAACCTTTTCTATCCGGAATAGCCAGACGAAAACTGAATTAATTTGTAATTCCCTTTGCCAAAACTGTAACATGCCAGACTTCATATTTTATTAGAGCATGCATGTAAAACGTGGAACTTTTAAGTAGTGCATTACCCCCGTAATAGAGATAGATACTGGTTTACATGCTTTCAAATCTGGACTAAAATCATTTTACAAAAACGCGCGTTATGATTGTGACGATCCGCGATCTTGGAAATCTGTGTGTGCTAAATGTAAAAGGGCTATGTCCTTTGATGGCATTTTAACTTGTTGTTAGTTTTCTGTAACGTCCATTGTACGTTTGTCTTATATTAGTTTTGTTTCGATTGTTAAAATTATTGTAATTTTTAATGTTAATTATGGGATCGCCGTAATTGGCGAAACCTGTGACGAACCTGGCAGTATATTAGCCGGATCTATTAAAACATTAAAAGATCTTCCAGGGTCTCTTGTCATTTCGTCAGATACTTGCTATAAATTTAGAGATTTTGTTGGCCTAGCTTTCTCTGAGCCCGGTTGATGGGAGTGAAATTCTCAGCCTGTCGGCTATTGATAAAATCTAATTCAAATACAGCGACACTCATTATGTGGTAGGTACGTACAGAACGAGAATTTCAGGCCAAGCCGAGTTTCCAGACCGCCGAAATTTCCACCTGGTTTGAGCTGTCCGTGAATTCAAATTTCAGACTTGACAAGAACATTCCATTAATGAATTGTGAAACAATTTCTGTCTATGCATCTTCTACAAATTTCGAAACGCTAGTTAAAACAGAGACAGCACGATAGCGAAAGTTAAAAAGCTATTATTGGAATTAATATTTGTGAAGTCATGTTCTCCTCCGACCAATGCATATAGTAGACTCCAAATATAATTGTTGACATGTTCTTTATGAACGCAATGTGAATAGATAAAAAAAATACATTCCTAAAACTGAAGACGTTTGATGTTGGGAGATCGCCCGGATATGAACGCGAAAACTATACATGTTTGAAATTATTCAATTTGCATTTATTTCAAATTCATTGCCGATACTCAATCGTGATTTACAATAATTGATCATTAATGCATGCACTACAAAAATATTACAAAATCTAAAAAGTAAAAAAAAATTCGTGTTGTATTTGAAAATTGTGCTGATATGGATCACATGACATCGATGGGCACCATGAACACCCGTTCTTCTGGCCGCACGTCCTTTTCCCTGATTCTTTCTCTGAATAGAAAAATATTTGGTTTAGTTTACTATCTTCGTGAGAATTTTTATCCAATTATGGATTCCTGAAATTTGTTAGGAGATGCCCAGATAATAAGGGTGAACCGGATGTCCTCCGAATTCCAGCCCTAAACTTCTGGAGTTCCAGTTCCGACCGAAACTGATAAAGCAGTTCTCGTACTTCAAAAGCAGATTCTGTGCGTTTGTTTATTAGGCCCGTTTTATGCGTCGAATTTTGGTCGCGTCAAATGCAACGGACGTCACCCAAAAATTAGTGTCACTAATATTTGAGGCATTTTGCATCATAGCGCTCGTGTAAGGAAGCAAAAAACTATAAAATTCTTATATTTTGTCATATGTGTTGAAGATTACCACAAACTAACACAAACACAGTTTTTAATCCAGTCCACCCTCGGCAATCTGACGTCCGCGTTGACCAAAACGTCGCTTGCTTAAAGTACATATGACAGGAATTTTTTTATTTTCTTAAATGAAAGAACTCTTTAAGCTGTAGTATAACTTATTTTTCAGTTTCTTGTTTTCATGGTTTGTTCACGAGATATTTCAATTTGTTTGGTATGTAAATGAGTGTGAATGACGTCACGTTGGTTGCAAGCTCAACTTACACTGGTTATAAATCTATTAAACGCTGCATTCCAGTTATATTACTACCTTAAAAAATAAGCAGAAACTCGACGTTTCGAGCGAAGGCCTTTCGTCAAGAGTTAGTCGAATAGTTTCTACTAACTCTTGACGAACGGCCTTCGCTCGAAACGTCGAGTTTCTGCTTATTTTTTAAGGTGGTAATATAACCACTCAGCACAACATTTTCACATTGGTATACTACCTACACTGGTACAGACAGTTTTAGTATGCATTCCAGTTACGCGTTTTTCATACGTGCGTACACGCACGTAAAAGTTGAATTCGCTTAAAATTTCATATAAGTGCAAATAACCTTAACAAATACACATTAAATCATACATAAAACTGAATGCTGTCCTTTTATAAATTTAGTTATTTCATAAGAAGGATGTAAAGCGAATTCAACTTTTACGTGCGTGCACGCACGTATGAAAAACGCGTAACTGGAATGCAGCCTTAACTCTAAAAACTGTAGATATCAGTTCACGTTTTTCTCCAGTATTTTATCACATTTACCAGTGAGCGAAGTTAGAAAATATTATCTTGGATGATAGCCGTGATATTCAACCATTTTGAAGAGCTTGCAACCAACGTGACGTCATAAATTAGCGGACATATTCACTCTCATTTGATTGATTGATTGACATCTTTATTTAAAACACGAGGTCCATTTCACAGGTTATGTTATGTGCTCTTCAATGGAGACGTGTACCTATACTAGTAGACTAATTAATAATAAAAAGGTATCAAACTATTTACAAAAGTAACAAACCACACATGCAAAGAAACTAATATAAAAGAAATATTAAGATATTTTAGATTTAAACTCAGCGAGAGATTGAACTCTAGTGAGTTCGACGGGTATGTCATTCCATAGGGTAGCTCCTCTATAGGAAAACTTTTCTTCAAGGATTCCGTTAAGGGTCTTGGTACAAAAAGTTTATGATTAGATTTACATATCAAACAAATTGAAATGTCTCGGGAACAAACCACAAAAACAAGAAACTGAAAAATAAGTTACACTACAGCTTAAACAGTTCTTTCATTTAAGAAAATAAAAAAATTCGTGTCATATATGCACTTTAAGCTCGCTAATGACATTACAAACCTTATTAATTAAGCTTCATTATCTATTGTTTAAATTGCATGCGACGCGACCGAAATTCGACGTGTAAAGGTCCATACAGATCGGACGCGATTTGGCAACGCGACGCGCGAATTTTCAATTTTCAATGACTTCAATATTTTTCTATGTTTTTCAAATATCCGGAACCACTTTAGCTATTTGGTCTGCATATCTTGTAAAATTTTTATCCGTTGACGGTTTTATTTGTTTTTAAAAACTAAAAATTCGCGTCGCGTTGTCGAACGCGTCCGGTCTATACGGACTTTAAAACAGGCCTTAAGGCCCGGTCACACTACACAACGATAACGATACGATAAATTGTAAACACGCGATAATTGTCAAAAAAATTGTGTTAGTGTCCACACAACAACGAAAATGATAAAATTATCGTTAGACGATAACGATAACGATTGTAAAATCGCTCACCTGAGCGATTTTTTTTTCAGTCGGACGATAACGATAAATTTTTGACCAATCAGCGCGCGTATACAAGTTATCGTATCGTTATCGTTGTGTAGTGTGACCGGGCCTTTAGTCTGTTAGCTCTGCCTGTTTTGGTATGTTAGTCTAGTAGTTTGTTAGTTTGTTCGAATCAGAAACTTTGGTATTTATTCAAAAGTAGTATGTCTTCGCGCTTATGGTGACCTAGGTCACCTAGCCTGCGTTGCAGTCGCTTTATTTTATTGAACGTTTTGAGGGTTTTTGAATAAATGGCGGGTTCAAAAATCCTCATGACCTTCAATGGAATAAAGTGACTGCTACGCAGGCTAATGGTGCACTAGCTAGCTTGTTTAAGTCGCCAACGTGCTATTTTGAGCATACTCTAGCCACCACACTGTAGTACTATGTATGGTTGCTAAAGCATGGGGGGGGGGTTGTCGTTTTTTTCCGACCACCAAACGTCCCAAAAAAATTTGGGAGCTAAAAAATACTTTTTCAGCCCTTTTTTGACCTAGAAAATTCCTTAATATTTAACACGTTCCGCAGTTACAGCATTCCGGGGCCAAGTTGGCCCCCCTTTTATTACTTTTCCCCCCCCCCCCCGAGTAGTTCCGGACCTGGTACTATTATATGCTGGTACAAATGACTATATATTTACTCACGTGATGTATTTGTCACGAACCAGATCAAGTTTGCCTGTTTTCGAGTTAAAGACACTTGAATTGCCATTTACTGGTTGTGCTTCATGGTATCTCTCGACCTCATAACGACCTGGTCCAACTGGGTTCTATACGGAAACACGAATGGACATATTATTACACATGAGAATGGGGTGTTGCACTTCTCATACTTCATAATCAGCGTCAAAAAATAGCCAGCCATGCATGCTAGTTTATTCCTCGATCTCAATTTATTACGTAAATTCATGTAAAAAGACCCTGCATGTGAATTGCCAACAAGTGGCGAATCTTTATATCTGGGGCCGGTTGTATAAAACTCTTAATGACTTTTTTAATCACTATTTTGTAGTTAAATAGTGATAACTCTCAAATAGGCGCTTCTTATTGGATGACGTTTGCACTTAATCATAGTTAACTTTAATCACTTTTTTATACAACAGGCCCCAGGGCGTTCTACCGCCTTAATGTCAGTTACAGTGATTTTTATATGTTTCACAGTCATACTACTGGAACACCATCGTGGAGATTTGCACCAACAAAGATGATCCGATTTGACTTCGTCTGCCGTATCGCTACCATTCAGAGACCATAAACGAAACAGAAGTACTGTAGCTGTAGCTGTAGTAGAAGTCTGAGCACGAATCTAATTATATTGAAACCAATACCTGGCGCAATGCCTTCTTACAAAGGTCGGGTTCCCTTGAATCATTTTACTCTCTAACATTGTCTAAGCCAGGTGATTAGGTATCAAACATAAAATTTAAAGATATATGTAAATGAATACATACATTGCTTGCAAGGAAGAATTTTCTGGCGTGTTTATCAAAACGTCCAGCAGTGGAACCAAAGCCAGGTCGTCTTGTTGGTTGAGGTTTACTCAGACTTCGTGGAGTGTATGAACCAGGTCCGACGTCACTCTACAGGATACAGTAAAATTATTGTCAACTCAATCTTTATCAGGGTTCGTACATGTGAGGAAGAGTCATATTCAAAGAAGAAGGAAGAGTCAAAAGGAAGAGTTAAATTCAAAGACTTTTCAAGGACATTCAAAGCCATGTATTAGCAAATTCAAGGACTAAATACTGAAGAAAAGGGGTTATTAAAATCTGACGATGAGTTGTTGAAAACGCAACTTTAATAAACAGCTTTTAATTGTCAGATATGAACATGCAAAATCAATTCAACAAAATGTCCGTTTTGAACGTCAGAAAATTTCAGAAAATATCCAAAAACTAAACCAAGAAAAATTTACGATTCAAGTACTTTACAAATTCAAGGACATTCAAGACCTTGAATTTTTGTTTTCAAATTCACGGACTTTCAAGTTTTGTACGAATTTATTGTCAACTCAATCTTTGTTTCACACACGCTGGCTTCATCATGGGTTTTGCAGAATAAACAGCCTATTGCATTGATCTTTATTTCAAAGACGCTGGTTTCATCAGGGTGTTACAGAAAAAACAGCTTATTTCATTGATCTTTATTTCACACATGCTGGCTTCATCAGGATGTTACTGCCGAAAAAGGCAGCTGCTGCGGATTGAGAGAGATACAACTACCTGAAAAATACAACTCTCGTCGAAGTTCTGTTTGTATTTTTGATAATTGGCGCGGGGTAAAGAAACAGCAATTTCCTTAATTTATTAAGATGAAATATTAGTGCAACTGCATGTAAAATACCTTGCCACGAGGACATTGACTCAGCGTGCTGAAGTAAATTCGATTGGCCGGATGATCCGGGAATCTTTCCAATTTCAAAAATCTTCCGTGACGATTCTTTTGTTCACCTTGAAAAGATATAAAAACAGTGTTGACTGAAACAGCAAGTTCCATGATGCTAGCCAACAGGCTATGGTATTACAGTATTCTGGAGTTAAAAGCACGTAAAGGGCAAACATACTCGTCCAACACTGTTGGATGCAACACGTTGTCCTCGTTTGAACACTATGTTGGCTGATGTTGAATCGGGTTTGACTTTGTTTAAATTTTCATGCAACACTGTGCAACATTCGACATGTACACGTCATTATTGGCATTTGATGATTGCGCATCATCCTTGAACGGAGAGATGCCCTCCAGTTGACTTACACAAGTTACAGGATATTGTGCAATATTACTCCTTAATTTTTTCTCAGTTAAAATCACTTCTTTTTTAATATTTCTTAAAACGCAACTGCTGTTAGTTGAGTGTTGAAATTTTTATGTTTCAGAAGCTTTATACTAACATGGGCACATGGCTGCTCATGCTGTATATACCTGTATTACTTTGTCAATGAGTTTTTCTCATAATGATTTCACGGTTGTTTTCTGTACATGAGACGGGCTTACCGAGCTGACTAATCATGTCTTACAGCGACTTACATGTATAAATACATATTTTACATGTCTTACAGACGTTCCTAAATAGGCTGAAGTAGAGTTTCGGTATACAATATCTTGTCAGGATAAGCCAGGCTAGCCCACCCCATGTATAAATTGCTCTAATAATCGTATTGGCATTTCAGTTCCCCAGCTGTGATTCCCTCATTATAATTTGATGTTTCGCACTAACACATTGACACGCGCATGCGTAACAGTTTCACCGCAATCACGGCGTCGTATAACGCACTATAAAGTCAAAGTACTTGAAGCACAACATCACTTCACCGCCACGTCCTTAGCATGGGGAGAGGTTCCTCAATGATCGATTAGTGAGAGGGCCGCTACCGCTGGACCATATAATTACACCAGAGAGACTTTAGCTTTAACTCTCTGAATTTTTGGAACGTTGTTCACGAGGAACAACACACTAACCACGAGACTACTACCACGCATAACGAGCAGGATTGATCGGCACATCGAAACACATTTAATGACTTTTGATCTAGTATTGCTTTCCTTCTTCTTAGGAATGTTAATCATGGAAACCTATTGAAAGCAGGTCGGCAACTGGACTCTATAGTGTCGGTGCCCTGCATTTCAGGTGCATCGCTGTGACCAGGAGTTCGGTTCTTGCCGAAGGGCCTGCAGTTACATTCTTCACAGCTGATCCCGGTTAGGTCTAAAATTGTATATAAATTTTCGTTCGAAAATTCCATCTACAAAAATCCATCAGCATTCAGTTATATCGAACACGAAGCGCCAAACCTGCCAGCAGTTTCACGTGATACGCGACCACCACAAGAAAAATGGTCGAGAGCAATAGTTGCTTTGGACATTTAGGCGCGGTCCCTAACGTCAACAGCTGAACAAAATCCACCAATTTCGATCACGACTCACGAATCTTGTAAATGCGAGCGTTATATTGTACAGTATAAGGGACCAGTCATTGGTTATGGTGGGGAGGGGGGGGGGGCACCGAAGAGAAAAGGGTTGGGTAAATGAGAAACAAAACAACTCAAGGATTGGGTAATAAAACATTATTGTCATTTCCAAAGCATGACTCACTCAAATATTGAAAACCAAAAGGCAATGTCAACAGTCATATGTCCATACAATATGTGAATCAAACGGAGTCACTATCTGATCATGTTCCGATTTTCAGGAGGCAAATGGTGTCTCCAAAGCGGGTACATGTGTAGATAACATGAAACATTACACTGCAGAAAACTGCACAAGCTGTTATCAAACTCATGTTACGAAAGTGATAAAGGACATGTGTGATAATTTAATATATATTTTTTTAGTACCCAGGGGTGGGTATATATTTTTTTAATTAATATTTGAGGTTGGCTACGAAAAATTTTGAATTTTTAATGGTTGGATCAGCAGACATTTATTTTACAAAGAAAAACCTTTCTCTTCGGCGCCACCGCCAGCTTTAAATAACGACCGGTCCCGAAGTCATGAAAATTTTTTTTCTCTGTAAGCCTAGGGCTGTACCCGTGAAGCTTTTGATTTCATTTACGCAATAAGATATTGTCATCTTGTTGACTGTTGATCGCCATGGTCTAATCGTTGCCATCCTTCATGCTTAAACACCTAATAAACAGTATATACAGTACTTACTCGTAAATTCGTGTAGAAATGACTGTATATCGTATTGTCCAGGACCAAGATTAGTTCGAATCTACAAAATTGAAAGAAGAATTATAAAAAGTAAAACCTAACACCTGTATCTTAATGTACAAAACTGTATTACTGGCTTCTTTGTACCTGATAGTGCCTTGTGTTCTTAATATTATATTTACATACACGAAAAATTACTCAGTTCTGATTGACTGAGAGCATACAAATATTTTTGAAAAGAAAGGCGTTTACCATAAGGAAACGGCTGAAGCTACAATAAAGTAGATAATTTACATTAGTATAATTACATAGGTGTTATGACAATTCTTCACGCTGATTAGTTGCCGTTTAGATGATTATAACGCGATAATCACCTAAGCGATTTTCGAAATGGCGGCCGAAGAAATGTGTATTTTTTATTTTTTCCCAAATAATCACCTATGAAATAGTATACTAAAGCAATGGCAATTGCTAGATAGTATACTTCAAAATAAGATTTCCGTTTTTATTCTATTTTTAAAATAAGATAGGGTTTAGGTTAGGGTTTAGGTTAGGGTTAGGTTGGGGTTAGGGTTAGGTTTAGTATCAGGGTTAGGGTTTAGTTTTGTGTTAGGATAGTTTTTTCTACGTTATAAAAACGGAAACCTTATTTTGAAGTATACTATCTAGCAATCACCCTAAAGCAATTATTCACCTCAGGCTCGGTGATATCGTGAATAAAAACCTCGACTTCGTCTCGGTTTTTATTCACCGATAATCAACTAGCCTTCGGCGAATAATTGTTATAATTATTATTATCATGACATTATTATTTAGCTCACTCTCATTGCCAAATTGAAGCTTTCCAGTGACCGGTAACATCTAGACTTGCCCAAGTCGCTCGCTAGGGACCGCCCGTAGCAAGAAGGGAGCGCTTGAGAAAGACGGAAGCGAGCGACTTGTGTCACTTGCCTGATTTTAAATCTTACTGAAAAATTTGGCACGAAAATCAATTATGACATAGTGGGCGTTCGCCATGTCGATTTCACTAGTTCATTATTGTTTTGTTCATAATAATATTGAGCATTCACTGACGTCACCAGAGCAAAAATGTACCGGTGAATTTGGTGCGCTTGCGGGTGACAAAAGTCCGTCGCTTCCAGGAACCACGAACCGCCGACTTTGGAAAGTCTAATGTAGGTAACATCAAGTATTATGTACTATTTAAAATACGAGCAGGAGTGCTTTATCAGATACAAAACACGAGAGCGCAGCTCGAGTGTTTTACAGCATATCTGATAAAGCACGGAGTGCGAGGGTTTTTTATTAATGAGTTTTTTAAATTATATTGTGATTACTTTCTTAACTGTGTTTATCCTAACCCACCCTGTTAACTTTCCCTGTGGGAGGAAACCGAAACACCCGAAGAAAACCCACGACTTTCGGCAGAGCGTTGACGATTCGAAAACGTGCTTCACAGGTATCGCAGATATGCTGCAGGAAACGAAGTATAGAAACGACTCTTGCATGCAACATTATCTGCTGAAGGGGAGGGGGGGAGGACAAAAAAATAGTTGAAAAACTAACTAAATCATATAAATAACAGCTTTCTTACCGGAACGGCCAAGTGACCAACCGTAATTGGTTTATTTCTCGATCCAGTGAAAAGATCGTAAGGACCGCGTTTACTGACAACTCGTTCTGAAAGTTCGTCGGCAAAGCTCTTCGAGTTATACTGGCCAGGACATAGATGTGAACCCTTGATGAAAATAAAATAAAATTATTATACGACCGGGGGAAAATATACAACTCAAAATCATGCCGACAAAAATAGACTTTGGGCAACCAAAACTTCGAAATCTCCGAGCTACAACAAGTTATAATTTTTATGTTAGAAATTTAATTTGCCGGAAATTAAAGCCACACAGTCAGCCTTTGAGAGATGTTATTTACAAAATAAGAATAAGGAAAACATCAGCACAACATCATAACATCGCAAGACGGCTATTTTTATATAGGTATAATGGGAAACAAATTGGTGTTAAAATGCTTCAAATGTAACAAGAATCACAATTTCCCGCGCATGTTTAATCTATCACTGTGAATTTATTCTCGTTTCTCAAACTATTTCAAGATTTGCGCCATTATGTATCGCTTATTGATCCTTTTGGCTGCATGCTGTATAATTTAAATCTAAATCCCGTAGTACTGCACGTTTTTCTTAGAGCTGTGCGCCGGAGTACCGGAGCTCCGGCATATTTTGCCGGAGTCAGAGCTGCATGGAGCCGGAATTGGAAAACTCCGGCAAAAACTCCGGCAGACAAAATTATCTGAAATCACATTCAAATACTTTCGCCTGCTTCTACTTAAAATTTCCTTTCCGGAGCCGGAGTTTTGACTGCCGCAGTCGGAGCTGAAATAACCGGAGTTTGCACAGCTCTAGTTTTTCTAGCATGAATTAAAGAAGCGAGCAATATCGGACGCTTTAACAAATATCTTCCATCATGGTATTGTAACAGCTGTACGGTTGTATATTTCAGCAGTATTCGGTAGTATAGCTGTACGGTAGTATATTAAAATCCCATCGTTCACCAGTAATTGGACACCATACTATTGCGGTTATACCATGCATGCATTCCGCCTGCCGCCCTTATGAAAATTTCACACATTACTTCACATGTAAAATTTTGGGTCGAATTGGAAGATTTCATATGTGAAAGAGGACATTTCATTGATTTTTGGTCAAACTGTATTTTTGGTCAAACTAAGCAACATTTAAAGAAGCTTTCTGTATAATTTTAAAACTTCTCTCAACTTCTCTCATCTAGTGAGTTTTGCCATATCCTCAAGGCCGTAGCTAGACCGATAATTGGGGGTGGGGGTGCATATTCATATATCCATGTTATGCCCAACGGATTTATTTTGAAAGCGATTCTTTTTAAGGTATGTGAACATGGATATACCCCCCCCCCCAAATTATCGCGTCTAACTACGGCCCTGCTGATATCCTAGTTTAAAGCCCTGGCTGCACTCAATACAACGCAAGCATAGGCGCAATAATAAACAATCGGAACACTGTGATGTTCTTAAGCTTGTGTTGTTTCCACTGCGTGTCCTCATAAGAGAGGTTAAGATACCCCAGTTTACGGGCACGAGTTTCGCCATTTTGTCTACCAATTTTTGCTGATGTCAGCATGTTTATCCGTAATTTCTACAGCCTTCCCCGCGGTAAACCATGGTCTACACGTAAGAGACAAACGCGAACGGGTGTTTACTTTTTACCATTTGTGGGCAGTTTAAGTCGTAAAATACTTCAACATCTTACCTAAATCTATCAATGTATGCCCGTATGCTCGTCAATTTTTCCAAAATCTATGGCGAAGCTCGTCCTCAACAACGAAAGTTACGGTTCTCCGATCGCTTACAGTATCTTACTCCGGAATACCTTGGATTTCTTAGTTGCAAGTCGTACCTCGATTTACGGGTACGTGCATGTATATCACCTGTACCCTAATCTCTCCGCTACAACGCAAGATAAAGCAAAAGCAACGACATGCATAGGCATAAGGAAAAGAATGCAAAGCTTTTCTATTCTTATGTTTATGTTTATGTTTATGCTTACATGTTGCGTCGTAGTGAGGACAGTACATAAGATACGTTTGATCCCTCTTGTGCTCATGCATATGCTTGCATCGTGGTGAGGAGCAGGCTTAAAATACGAAGACCTACCACTTCTGGCAATTTTCTTTCTGATTTTCCTGACTCTAACATCCCAACATTACTTGTGGACTGTTTCTGTTTTTCCTCCACTGCGGCATTCGGTATCCCGCCTTTTCCATAGGTACCGGGGCCTGGGACACCACTCTATGGACAAATATAACGAAACATTGACATGCGCTTCCGACAGTGTAGAGTAGTTAACTGCATGAGGAGAACTATAGTAATCATAAGGCCTGGAAAAACAATTAATTTATTTCCGTGACCATTGTGACAAAACAAAAATGTTCTGGAAGTATAAATTCCATAGGCCATCGAGTCAAACTAAATGACTTGATTTATTTAGTATATACAGTACTATCATGTAAGGGATAACCCCAAAACTGGGGGAGAGCACTCAATATCCCCCTCTGATATCTGAACCTATAATTTTTCAAACATGAAAGCATTGGTATAGGCTATAAAATAAGCTATCGATTGCATGGAATTAAAGGAAAAAGTTTAAAGAACTAAGATTCCCAGCTATAAAGGTGGTCATATTTGCCAACCTAACTCCCCCCCTCGCGAAGTGCACGCCACTGTCCAGCTAACCATGAAAGGTTTGAAAGACTGAATTTTAATCCAAAGATTTTAAAATGCGAGGATCAAATTCGGAATCATCTAACGCGGATCATCGTTTTCAAGAAAAGTCAAAACTACAAATATCAACCAATTAGTGTTGTGTACTTGTGTACACAACAGTTATGAAGACCGAGGTCATTGTTATCTTCCGAAGGCTAAGGCGGATAACATCGACTGAGGTCTTGTTAATTATTGATATCGTGTGAAAGCCGAATCCAATAATTGTTTTAAATCATTGTGCATATATAGATACAGTTGTATGTGTATCACCAAACAGTCAATTTGAAGAAATCGTAGAAATCAATTTGAAGAAAATCCACAAGACACATACTTTTTTAATGTTTTGCAGTATTTCTATGGATACGTATAAACGCTATTAATATTAACTTGAACTAATCTCCTAAAACAAACTTTTCTTTCTTTAATTTGTCCGCTCCGCTGACACATTTACTACTGTTCCTAAATTAATTGTTGGGTTTTACCCCCTGCTGTATTAACTTTTGCAAACTCCTATTAAGCGGACACCCATTTTAAGAGGACACATTGGTGATGTCCCGAAGGTGTCCGCGTAATAGGGGTTCGACTTTTTTCCAAATGCTTGGATGATATTTCAAACCTGCAAAGCCGGCCTTCGAAGGGTGCAAATAAGCAAATTTGACTGAAAAATTGGTTAAAGAAAGAGTTTAGGAATAATCGTCTGCACATGGTTTACCTTTCCTACGGAATTGAATCTCTTGGCTCTTGTTTCACAAATTCCACGAACACTTCCAGGTTTAGACTCCAGTAATCCAGCGAAATCCTTTATCTCATATGTCCCTGGTCCAAGCAACTTTTTCTACAAAAAACAAATTGTTTCCATCGATTGGTAATAACAAACAACCCACGAGCAAGTATTTTGTTTAAGAAGTACAGTGCCGCTAACTCCAAATATGATTCTTCAGGATTCTTATTTGTATAATGGTTGTGTCATTCTATAAAGATATATTGCGGTGCCCAGACGAGTTGGGAAATTTGATATCGCTTTACAATCGCTGCCTGAATTTGTTAGTCTTGTAGTTAGTTGTTAGTCTACATTAGTTTGTTTGGAATGATGGCCCTTAGTATTTATTGAACAATAGTATGTCTTCGCATTAGTCGTGAATTTGTTTTGTGTATCCCTGGTTAAATTTTAATTCATTTCTTCTTAGTAAAAAATTTCCTCTTGATCAACTTTTACACTGCGAAAGTTTTGGGATATGATGTTATTAGATGAATCTTTGGAGCAAAAAGCAAACTATATAAGGAAAAATTATTTTGCAATTCATCTAATGACATCATATCCGGAAACTTTACTAAAGATATATTTAGAGATATATTACATTTGTTCTTTGAATGATCCAAATACGCATGCATATTTGGGGTTACGTCATTGTCGCACTTTAACAAATCACCGTCATATTTGGGGTTAGTCGCACCTCGTGCGATAGATAGGGATACAGAGTTGCAAAAAGTTTTTGAAACCTTCCTCAAGATAATGTGAATTATGGCTTTTTCAAATTGCAAAATACTGTCAGGGCAGGAAAAAAGAATAATATTTTCTTCCTGGGAGCACAACCTGGAGACAAATGTTCCCTGGCTTGCAGACCAAAGGACTATTTTTGTGCTAAATCTGCATGTGCATAAACGTATAGTGTTCTAGCTGACAATGGTTTTAAATTCAAGGAATAATGTCCGTCAACCATATGTTGTTGCGCCCATAGTGGGACATGGGTGTCAAGGTTTCCTTCAAACTTTCGATAGCAAATCTTCATTCAAACGAATTTCTTGCAGCTGTCTAACATATCCTGCGAGCAGTGCTCGCCTATATGTTCTTCCACCCCTGAATACTGTATATAAATTTGTCTTTCCTAGCTACTACTGTAAGTCTGTAACTACTGTAGTATTAACTTTGATCAGCTGGTTGATCAACTAACACTATTTGCCAAACAACTCCTGTACATGGCTTTCCCAACATTTCATCATGTAAACAACTACTCAAACATATCTAAATTTATTCAATGCAGCCTTTGATATGTATAGACTTGCCGTGTACATGGACACTATCTGGTGACTGTCCTTGCTATTGGGAAATGGCTTTAAATACACATAATTTATTGTATAGTCTTGTGCTGATGTTACTTTATGTCCATGTTACTTTATATAACAAACATACTTGTAGGGAGTTGAGTCCGGGATTGGACGCACCAATGGTGGCTTGGAAGTTTCCTTCCAGAACTTCCAGCCACCCAAGGAAATGTTGTACTACATAACTACCAGTACAACATCAGTATCCCGCCAACCTCAGCCTGCCTAGTCAAGTATCATGATTTGTTTCACGCGGTGTTTAAGTCCTGAGCAGAATTGTTCCACATTAAACCTTTCTTATTGACCTCATATATGGTAAATCTTCCTCATGGGTGGTACCCGCAGACCCACAGCTTTTTTGTAGGGAAGGTACCAAAAACAACACTGCAAACTGTAGGCGACTGCAGGTTCTTCCTGTGTTATACATACCATCCTAAACTCGGATAGTCTATAAGCATGCACAAATAACACGTGACAGTTATATGTTACCTGTAGCTGCTTTTTGTTCCACTCTTCTTTATACAGGAGGTGTGGACAATTAGCTTCTTGCATTGTTTCATAAGCTCTTTCCCAGCCTACAGTAATGTGCGATTGCACACATGAAATAAGTAATCAGACTAAAAGAAACTAAACTAAATTGACGTACTGTAGTCCCTATACTAAGCTCCTATGAGGGGGCACTGTCTATTTTTTGGGGGGGAGGTTATTAGAGGGTGGGACTTATTTATTTACCCATGAAATAATTTGACAATTTTTGTTCAAAAATTATTTATTTCTGCAGGTAACGTACAGGGTAACATGAACACAACTATAAGGTGGCTTTTAAGGGGGAGGGAGAGGCTTAATAGAGGGGGTGCTTAGTACCGGTCAACGCTCTGCGGAAAGTCGTGGGTTTTCTCCGGTTTCTTCTCACAGGGAAAGTTGACAGAGAACTACGATTATAAACACAGTTTAGGCAAGTAATATCACAATTGTTGGAAAGATAAAGTAGTGTATAGGCTAAGTATGTAATTAGGTAAGCCTATAATACTTGATGTAAAGCGCATTTGATCATATGCACAATCATGTGAATTTGCGCTATAGACATGTTAATCTATCTTAATCTCAATAGAGAGGGATTAGAAGAGGGAGGCTTAACAGAGGGGCTCGATAGAGGGGGCTTAATAAATAGTGGGTTACTTTACTAGATAGGGTAATAGAGGGACCGGGGTTATAGAGTGGCTCTTAACAGAGAGGGGTTTAAAAGAGAGGGATTTAATAAAGGGGCCCGGCGAAGATTGGAAAAGAGGGTAAGGGTGCATTCACTTGAATCTTTGGGGTTTTTAGGTAGCTGTGCAATCATTTTTACATTCTGAATGCACTGGGATTACGAATCCGCAGAATCTTTTAAAAGTCATTGATTTGTCGCGGTAAAAGGTAACGACCGTAACGGGGTATCAGAATAAGTACATAACCACTGAAATTTGGAAAATCAGAACGCTGGCGATGGCATTCGAAGGAACGTACCTGCTAGGGCCATGGTGATGCATGTTATTGTTTTGTTCTCTGTGTTGGTGTTATATGTACTCAGGACTCAGGTGAATATGATGTTTGTGATATATCCACACCGGGTAAGCTTGAAAAATATGCCTGGCCACGGTGGGAATCGAAACTACGACCTTTGTCACTTACTCGAACCGACCTGACCGCATAGCTCAGTTGGAAGTGCATTGGGCTAGTTAGATTCAATTCTCACCGTGACCAGGCATATTTTTCAAGCTTGCCGGGTGTGGATATACACTCAGAGTATAACATCAAAAACAGCACGTTATTGTGTCACGAATTGTAAAATATTTTTCACAGTTACAGCAGACCATCGTGTTGTCATTTAAATTAATATGCTTCACAATAAGATAGTGTAGAGTTTTTATAAATATATTTGCAAACTTGCATTGCAGTTATGCGCACTTCATGATTAGCTGAGGCTTGTGCTGGGGCGTGCCATGTCTATGATGGCCTAAATTTAGAGTGAAATGTGATAGTCATGGAGTCTTATGACAGTTACCTGGTCCAGATGATCTCTCCATGACGGCCTTTGCACTGAATGAACCATTGGCTACGTTATATCTACCAGGCCCAAGACTTCGACTCTGAAAAAATGAATGATCTAGTTGAGACCCGATTTAATGATTTAGACTACGTTGTAGTAGTACGTTCACATGCATGTAGTAGTACTACACCGGGGAGCGGTTTGAAAACGGCGCAGAAAAGTCACAATTGTCCCGTTCACAACACGCTGGAGGGAAATTGTTTGAAAACGTCATTTTTGTGATCGTAACAATTTGAGCACGGTTTCTAAACGGAGCGAGGTGAAAATGAAGCGCTTGTATAGGCTTCGTGTCAACACAAAGGTCGTCGTTATTTTTTGTACCGCTTCAAGCGTCGCAGGTCTCAAAACAACAAATTCGAATGCTTTTCGTCTAAATTTCTTTGTTCCATATGAAATATTTTGGGTTTACACGAGTGTTCATTTTTTATGGACGAACTGTAACGGCGTATCTAGAGCTAGTGTGAACACACGTAAATTCTGGCGGAATTATTTCGCTGCGGTGTAGTGCAAACGTAGTCTGAAAAACTCTTTCAAACAGACTCAGCATTGTTGGCCAAAAAACAATTTTCAAAAAGTGATTTGTTCTGTTTCTTGCACAAATACTGTAAAGAATTTGTGCCAAACCATGGTATTGAGGGTTCAAATTCCAGCGCCTTTTTTAACTCTCACTCTATGATGCCCTGCTCCCCCCAGTTACCCATTTTCCAGTCAGTCATTCCCCCCCCCCCCCCAGTCATGGTCCCTTTTCTCTGAACTATAAGCGCCTTGAATTTTTGTTTTCATATTCAAGGGCAAACATTCGAAGAAAAATTGAATTTAGAAGGGATGCTTGATATTAATACTAGCTTACTGAACCTCGCTTTGCGAATCTTTACATTTGTCATGTCTTTTGTCTTCAAATGATTCAATATTATGACATAATGTCGTTTTAAAAATGCTAAACTGTTGTAAATCCCTTAGATTTTAAAAATTTCCCAACGGATACCATATCCCAGAACCTATATGGAATTGAGTTGTTGGAAGGCTAGGTCTAACAAATTAGTGACCAAGTTGTGGTGTTCACATAAACATACAGTACCATGCAAGTACTTACAGTAACTGAAGATTCATGCAGTCTGTCTATTATAAGTGCAGTTTAATGCGATGCGCTGTATATCCAAAAACCTGTTTCAAAAAACGGGCACGAAATGCTCTTCTAGGGATGGCCAAAATGCAACTTTTCTGGGGGAGAATGCCCAAAGACCTCCTACTATTACAGTACATACGACACCACACCAAACAGTTTGTCACCAACCGAACCATCTATCATCTCTCCATACTCAGTATACCGTATGGTCGCTTTTTGTAGATCGCCTCCCACTTACAAATAATCTTTAAAAAGGCCCAGTCAAATTCCTGCTGGCCACCATTTTATGGGCCGAGTAGATCAACAGATCTGGAAAAGTATTCTCTAATCCGACGTATATTAAACCTTTCTTTGAGAATACTCTTTTCTTATTGGATTGGAAATGTACAATTTAGGCATTTTTTTATCATTTGGGTAAGACAAAAACAATAACAAAAGCACGCGATACCACTGATAACTACTGATCATTTAATAAAAAGCACAATGCAGATTATCAATTTGGATAAATCTAATGGATTTATTCAAATATAAACTTGACAAAAAATAAATGATTTTAACATTGTTGCATCATGATGTACTGTAAGTTTATACAGTAAAATTTTTTTTTAATGGCAAATTTGCGAATGATTTAGATTTGGACAAGTATTACTTGTCGAAAAACAAAAGTTAGGCATCTTACTTTAATTGGAAAACAATTAGGAATTAATTTTCACAAAAGTTACTCAACTGCAGTTACTATGGCAACAATGTCAATGACGATACAATTTGGCGGCTAATTTGATTTAATTCAAAGTAATTCATTAACTCGTAAACGACATCGGTGACCCCCAAATTTTATTTCATATTTAAAATGATTTTTCTTATTACTTTAATTGATACATATATTACTTTGACAATTTTTAAAAAATTCTGCTGACTGGAGCCAATTTTTTCAAAAAAAAGTCATAGTTGTGATTATATTCATAAACTAGGGATCCAAGGATAGTGTGAAGTTTCAAATTGAAAAAGACACTGCAAGAACTATATAGGGTCGCCGACAACCTAGAAAAGCTGATGGCTTACACTACGAAATAAACAGTTACCAAAGGCATTTCATCTCATTATTTATTGCTTTTAATACGCTCGCACACGAGTAGCGTGACGTTTGAAACAAGCCTAACACATCAGAAACGTGCCTTGTGAAACTGATGCTATTTATCTATTTATTGTGATGCTACACGCGACAATTCGAAATTTAAATTGTTTCACCAACAACCAAATTTTGCATATTCTAAATTTTCATTTGCATTTGCAGCTGTCGCTAAAAGCATCCCCACGAGGCTACTGCTATGCTAAATTTATCTAATAAACTATAATTGAAATAGCTGTATAGGATATGTTATGAATAATAAGCACTACGTCGTTACATCATTAAAAGACGCATTTTATCCTCATCCGTTCCGTATTTTATCCGCATATCCGTTCCGTGGATCCGCTCCATCCGCTTCCGCATTTTAACTTAATTGTGACATGTTTCACAATAACAAGTCTCATTGACCTTTGACTTTTCCCAGTGTCACGTCTATTTTCAGCTTTTCGCATGTGTTGAATACATTACTGTAATGTCACTTTAGATTTCAATAGTTTCACAGTTAAGCAGTGTTTAAATTAAAGCAGGTTTGACAAGCTTTGATACAGTTCTGTGTACAGAATACTACAGATTGATTCTCGTAAGATCTGGTAGAGTTATCGTTGCACTGAACACGAGTTTGCACCGTTGACAACGGCGTTGTGCTAGACAGTAAACAAAGACAAGGTCCGTGACAGTACACGTTGGCTACATGTACCTCCTTGCTTTTTTCTTCTATTGCATAA